ATCCTTTTAGCCATCCTATCCCATCTTGCGATCTCTGGTGGGTCTCTGGCATGGTTTTCTTCTTATCTTCAGGAGCGTCAGCAGTCGGTCAAGCATGGTGATATATCATCAGGCTGGTGCGAATTAAAAGCTGGCGTTCCTCAAGGCGGCATACTATCACCACTCTTGTTTTCTATTTTTATCAATCTCATCACTTCTGACCTTCGGTGTGCGTACCATCTGTATGCAGATGACTTGCAGCTGTACTGTCAGGCTGGGGTAGACTGCTTGGCCGATGCTATCTCAAATATTAATGATGACTTAGCCACCATTAGTGCCTGGTCAGCTCGGTTTGGCATCGCGGTAAACCCGAATAAGTGCCAGGCTATCATCGTCGGAAGCTCTCGATCGCTAGGTAGGGTTGACGATGCATCTCTGCCAGCCATCCTTTTCGACGGTGCGATCGTTCCTTACAGCAACGATGTTAAAGATCTGGGCTTACATATTGACAGGAATTTAAACTGGCATACACAAGTCGCTAACGTGTGCAAAAAAGTGACCGGGTCGCTGCGGGCCCTTTACCGCGTGAAAAACTTGCTTCCGACCGTCACCAAGACGATGCTTGTACAGACCTTGTTGTTCCCTATAATAGATTATGCTGATGTTTGTTACTATGACCTGAATGCAGATCTCCTCAATAAACTCAACCGACTTCTGAATAACTGCATTCGTTTCGTTTTCAACCTGCGCAAATATGATCATGTTTCTGCACATCGGTTGCAATTAAAGTGGTTGCCCATACGCCAGCGTAGGGAGCAAAGGGCGTTAACCACTTTATTTTCCTTTCTTAACTCGCCTTGCCCACCTAGTTATATGTCCTCTTACTTCCAATACACATGCGCAAACCACAATAAATATCTTCGCTCTTCTAACAATCGTCTCCTCAACTGTCCAACTCATCACTCAAAATTTCTCCATTCCTCATTCTTCGTTCAGGCTATTCTTCTGTGGAATGCGCTACCCCCCGATATCAGGATCTTGACTAGTCGGCTGTCTTTCAAGCAGAGAGTTCGGGAGCTTCTTTTGAAGAGGTTGGGGGAATCATCGTGACTATGACTGCATATACGTATATATATATATATATATATGTTTACTGCCTTATAAATATGTATTATAAAGTATGTATATATTATGTATGTATGTAAAGTGTGTCATATATAATTTTATATATATGTTTGGTATATTTAACTCAATTTGCTTGCTTCTTGCACCTGCCACCAGATTATCTCTGCATCACCCAAAGGTAGACTGGTAGAGAATGCTCATTGCATTAAGTCCGCCTATGTACAGTGTTTTGTGCATGAAGTCTCAAATAAATAAATAAAATAAATAAAATCGCCCAACTTTAAACAATGGTTGAAACCTGTGCCTGGAGATGATACGAGGGCGATGTGTTTGTATTGTAGCAAATTAAGCGATATCCAGAGACATTGTGATTCAGTTCATCACAAGAAGCTGGCGAAACCTTTCTTGGACAAAAAACAAACACAAATCTCTTCAATGCTGCAAAAACCCGTCGATAAGCTCTGTGTTGAGGCTGAAGGTGCTCTCTCAATGTATGTTGCAGAACACACAGCTATACAAGCAATTGATCACCTCACCGAATTGTGTAAAAATAAATTTTCGAATTCTAAGGCTACTACAGAAATGAAATTGCACCGAACGAAATGTACAGCAATAATTCAGGAAGTATTAGCACCTCATTTTAAAGATTCTTTGATAAATGATATTGGTGATAATTCGTATAGCTTGATTATAGATGAATCTACTGATGTTTCTGTTCGAAAATATCTCGGTATTGTTGTTAAATATTTTAGCAGCAGTCGCAACGAAATAGTTTCCACATTCTTAGGGCTGATTGAATTGGAATCTGCAGATGCCGAAGGAATAGTTTCGTCGTTAATAGCACAACTTGAAGCTTTTAAACTTGATAAAAGCAAGTTAATTGGAATCGGAACGGATAATGCTTCGGTTATGACTGGGGTAAACGCAGGTGTCCATAAAATATTGCAGGAAAGGTATGCTTTACCCAATCTAGTGTTGATAAGATGTGTCTGCCATTCGATTCAATTGGCGGTATCACATGCGTCATGTGAGACTATACCAAGAAATATAGAATTTATGATAAGAGAAACTCACAATTGGTTCAAAATTTCACCGAAACGAAAAAACGAATATAAAAAATTATATGAAGCGATAAACTGTGGAGAGGAGCCACTTAAGATCTTAAAAGCTTGTGATACACGATTGCTGTCAATTGAACCCGCGGTAACTAGAATCTTAAGTCAATGGATAGAACTAAAATTACACTTTCAATTAATGAGAACTCGTGAAAATTGCTACCAAGCCGAATTATTATAACATGTACAACGATGAAAAAACAAAATTTATTTGCAGTTTTTGTGTGGAATACTTAATAATTTACAAGGGGCAATAAAAACTTTTGAAAACAAAACTTCTGACCCATGTCTGCTCTACATGATTTGATACGAAACATGTGAACGAAAATAATAATAGTGCAACCGAGAATGCAATTCGAAAGCATTAATGTGAAAGAACATCTATCTATGTCACCATACCTTGGTTATTTATTTGAGAAAGAGTTGAACGAGTCTTCATTAAATGAGGATGAAAAAAATGCAATGAAGAAGAGGTGCGTTGATTTTATTATTAAACTAATAAATCAGCTGCAACAAAGATTGCCTGAAAATTTAAAACTACTTAAAAACTCTATGGCATTATCTGTTACCGTCATTTTAAAACCAAACAGAAATATTGATAACTTTATACAAGTTTTGGAAAGTCTGGGTTACACAGAAAATATGGATAATGTTATTCAGCAGTGGCAAACTGTTATCCTACAGAACTGGGAAAATACCAAAGATACGGTGAAGTTCTGGACAGAAGTTCAACAGTCGAGGGACGCAGCTGGCTGTTGTCCATATAAAGACTTATTCGATGTCGCGACAAAAATAATGAGTTTGCCACATTCAAATGCTGATATTGAGCGAGTGTTCAGCTTAATGAATGTGGTTAAAAGCAAGTTGCGAAATGCATTGCATTTAAAAACTATTAACGCCATCCTATTAATAAGAACAGGATTAACCGCGATTAACAGCAACTGTTACAATTATCAACTACCAGCTGATATTTTAAGTAAGATAGGATCATCCGAAAAATATAAAGTAAATACTACTGAACCTAACCAGCCTGGACCCTCGAGTTCAGCTATGATGGAAGAAGAATTTTAATTTTTTGTTTTGTTTTCACTTTTACTTTTTCTTTTTACTTTAAATTGATTTTATTATACCCAAACTGTAGGTATAGAATATTATTATTATGTTTTCTATCCTAAATTTTATTATTGTAATAAAAAGTTGCTTTTTACTACAATCACTTCATATTTTATTTTATTTTTGTCGTGCGTATGACGCTTTTTCCACGATCAATGTCACAGATGATATGTCCAAGGAGATTACACAATCTACCATACTAAACCTTGTTTAGTATGGGAGATTATTTAATCACACTGATCGTCTAAAAAGCGCCTCAGTTAAAAGTTCGGATTTAGCGCTTTATTGACTCGTTTGAGCCGATTTAGCGCTTTAATGGCTCGTGAATATATTCGAATCTAGCGCTTAGCGCACCGCTGTCAGCGCTGATAAGATTTTTTCATCTGGCAGCACTGGGCGCAACGTGCTCCCCGGACCACGAGTAAGTAGTACTGATTTATTAGTAAATAGCTGTGACATACTTGCAGAAAATACATATTGTGAAAATTTTCTTTAAATGCCTAATAAATATATAATGACTTGTTCTAAACATGGTATGGGTTAGTAGGATATCCTGTTATGTGTTTTAAAAAGCATTTTTACTTATTAATGTAAATTTTGTTTATATCAAATTCCAGTTCAGCTTCAAATGTGATCATGTTACTCCATGTATGGTTTAAATGCTTTTTTTTTCAGAAAAAGACCCCTGCTCCTGCCTGCTGCAGCACGAGAGATTGTGTGAGTACTGTTTAACAAGTAAACAATAGTCAGAGTTTCAGTTTGTAATAAGAACAATATTATCACACTAACTTCTTATATAGAATAGGGCTAGAATGATGTAATGATGTAGTAGGTACTAAATTAAAAAAATAAGAATTGACCAGTATTTCCAAATCCAATATGAAAAGATGTTTTACTTCATCTCGATATCAGGCCACGATGTTATGATTTAGATATGTTAACTTCATCACTTCATTAAAAAATATTTTACAGGTCGGGGGTAGAGCGAGAGCAGACCGCAGCTGCGGAGCGCCGTCAAAGGGCGCAACTGCGCTTGTATCAGCGCCTCGCTCTGCCGGAGCTCCGCGTGGAGCCGCGGCGCCTCCAGCACCATGAAGTGGCCGCCCTACAGGCGCAATGGCGCGAGATGGTGGCTGCCAGAGAAAGGGAGATCCGCCACCGCCGCGCCTTAAATTAAGGGAGCTCTACGCGAGCTTCTAGCTTTCAAAGACACAATTACAGCATTGTCTTAATAATCACCAGGGAGTTTGACAAGACTGGACTTAAGAAATTGGACTCGTGTAGAGCTCCCTAATGATTAAAATGAACTTTAAAAATAATGTTTTTTTTTGGCATTCCGACTCCCCGAAATATTTGACTGCACGGTTGGCGCAGTGGCTGGGCAACTGGCTGCTGTGGAACGTGTCGCGGGTTCAATTCCCGCACGGAGCAACACTGATCCACAAATTGTTGTTTCGGGTCTGGGTGTGTTGTGTATGTTTGTAAACGCACCCATGATACAGGAGATAATCCTAGGGTGGGGCAAGGTTCTTTTTTTAAAAGAAATATAATGTCTTGTGAAAACTTACAATTATAAACAAAAGTATCCAAAATAAGTACCAAGCACACATCACAATTCTGTGAGGACTCTCTTAAAGATACTGAAACCAGGTCTTGTGTAAATAAAATTTATTTAATTTTAGTTTTTTTGCCCACGCCCTTGCCTTTGAGCGTGGGTCTAGTTGGATTCGCCTGCTGCGGCTCCTCAATGCACCGTTTCTTGGCGGATGGATTTTCACCATCCACCAATGCGGTGCGCTTTGCAGCGCGCAGCAAGCACGTTAGGCTTGTCTCTCCTCCATCGACGACTGCCTCTGAGGAGACGCAAGGTGCATCAGACGACGACACCCAGTCGCTTGGTAGCGTGTCTTCATCATCCCTACAATAAAGTTATAAAAATAATAAACAACTCATACCTAACTTAACAAGATGCTCTTTACTAAAAACTAAAACGCCAATAAATTTTAAAATGTAGGCTTACAAAGACTGCTTTAAATTAACATTTTACACAGACTCCCACGAACTTCTTATCTATTTTAGTATCTACCTTAATCATAAAAGTTTGGTTAAATTAACAATACTTACATGATAGTACCTATTTTCTTTGTAGGTCGCGCAAAAAATCCCAATGAAAACAATACCATAGACATTTTTAAGGCATGGAGGAGGTGCCTTGGACAGCCTATATTTGTCGGATCATTTACGAGTCGTGACGTTACACAAGTGACGTGACGTTGCTAAAGAATGTTAGAATGATATATTGAGTAAAAATATAACTAGGCAGTATGTTCCGATGACTACAGCCACAGCCTGCTACAGGCTAGCCATAAACTAAAAATTTTATGGTATCTGTAAGCTTTGTGGATTTTAAATGGACTCCTACTGGACTACTTATTCATTTTATTGCACAAATGCAAAAGTAAACTGCAATGTGAAGTCTTTTGGAAATGATCGTCATTGTAGGTAAATATCGAACCAATAGGTTACATTTCTTATATGTCCGCGTGCGCCTAGAGGCGAGTCACGGGGAAGATTCACACCTCGCTTCCCTGTGCATCTTGAGGGGGGCTTATGGGGATAGGCCCCATCACGAGTGGGCCTGCGGATGAATTTTGATTATCGCGTCCTCACGCCCACGTGAGAGACGGGACAACAAGGTGGTTTTTAGTCAGTAAAAGTCTGACAGTCCACTTCGTCTCCCCAGGCGAAGGGGCTCCATGAGGATTTTCCACCTTGGGGCAAAATATTTTTTTTTTGCCCCAAGGTGGAATATCCTATAGAAATAAAGTGTACTGTTAAGTACACCTAAATGTCTATTTTTAGAGTCTGTTATGGTACTTGAATAGGGAAATGAACAGAGAATTATTATTCCCAATTTTAATTTTAATAAAGTGTCCACACCGTTCACCATGCCCCTTTTCTTCACATCCAAACTGTAACCTACTATTAAAACTAATATTGAATTTTGTAATAGGCACTAGAGTCACTATTCTCAGGTTTAGGTATAATGCGTGGGTTTTCCGATGGATCGGAGATGGAAGGGAACGATATTGTTACGAAAGTCTGTATATTATAAAAGCAAATAGAACAAAGTTTGGTGAATATAAGATTAATTAAACTAAACACAACACGATAACTGGGAGCGAGCGAGAGCCGCGATAAACGTATAATAACTTGTGCTGCGCACTGCGGCGTCGGCGCGACTAGTCAGCGTTGCGTACCTACATGACCGGCGGCGGCCGGCGCTGGCGCGTTGCGCGCGCAGCCGTTTCTAACCGTGCGGCCGCGTCTGTATATTGTACACGCTCCGCAAACCCTCTCAACGACCGCGCGCTACAGTCTCCCCCTCTAACCCGAACGAACGTCCTGGCGATCGGGTTAGCACTTACGAGACCCCGCCTACGCTTCTGCTGAACTGGAGCCTGGATGCGACCAACAAAGGATGTCAAAACTGAAACATGATACTTCCCGAGCTCTATTCCGTCGCTAAGCCGCTCAAGCACGTAAGTTACGGGACCTACTGCGGCCTTGATCCTATAAGGCCCATCGCGGCGGGGAATAAACTTAGGGGTCTGTCCTTTGCCTGTGTCGTTTGACCCTTGAGTTTTTAACAACACTAGATCGCCGACTTTATAGTCGGGAGTTGGCCGACGGTGCTCGTCGGCATACCTCTTTCGTACCTTCTGAGCCTTCTCGTAGACGTTACGCTGGCATGGTACACAATTTTTAACGTTTTGCGTTACGTATGAACGGATTCCAGGCCAATAATACTTGCCGACCATCCGTTGCAGTGTACGCTCCGCAACCATGTGACCAGCAGTGGGTGCATCATGGTATTCAGCCAATATCTTAGCATGTGCGTACTGTGGTACCATCAAATTTTCGGGACAATACGTATATCGTACCCCTTCGGTGAGCACGTAACCTTTGTCTGCCCAAGCCCACCCCCTAAAGGGATCGTCGGATTCCCGGGCTTCGACAATCTTACTCACCTGCGGGTCCTTTGATTGGTCCTCGCGCAGGTCCTTGGCACCACGTGTATGTCAGCCGTAGCTGAACTGCAACATAAGTCACAGTCGACTTCATCGGTGGTGAATGCAGATCGCGACAGCGTATCGGCAATGACGCTGGCTTTACTAGGTGTGTGCTCGATCTTCTCGTTTTTCAAAATGTAAGACTGTTCAAACGGGAACCTGTCTCCTGGTCTATTTGCGAAATACTAAGACTCCTGGGCTATGTCTAAAACCATGCCCGCTTTGGCGATGAAATCGCGATCTAAGAGAGTCCTAGTGTCGTCACCAGGAAATATCATAAAATCGGTATCGATTATCCGACCACCTAGGGTAACAGGTACTGTCGCGATCTTAATCATCTTACGGTGACGTGACCCGTCGGCGAGTCCAACGTACCTAACAGCGTCTTTAAATTGAACGCCACTACTGGCTAGTAGCGAGTGCAATAATGGGCTAGCAACGCTATGCGTAGCCCCTGTATCTACTATCGCGACCCCTACTTTACCTACTACACCTATAGTAATTAAAGGGTGCGACGAAGTAGAGAAGAAATCCCCTTTCACGGTATGGAAGTCGGATGACCCAGCGCGAACAGGCTTATTAGAACAAGTCTCACATTTAGATCTAACAACCCCCGGCTGACCGCATCCATAGCATCGAACCGGGTGAGTTTTCTCACTATTGTTATCTATTTTATTATTACTAGCTTTGCGACAACCATCTATCGTGTGGCCAAATGCTTTGCAATAGGAACATCTAGTGCTATTCGCACGTTTCAAATTTTCGTTCGAACTAGGGGTAAGTTTCGAGCCGATAGTTACGCTCGAACTCGTAGTAGGGCCGCGGTCGGGTACCGTAGGTATTTTCAATGATTTCGAGATTTCTAACTCCGACATACTGTCTTCCACGAGTCTCGCTCTCTCTAACAATTCATCAATATTACAAACGGTATCACGCGGCAATCGTTTACGTATACGACGATGAAGTAGTCCGTAAATGATATCTACTTGCATCACAGTAGGCACTACATACGGTAATTTGACTAATAATGATCGTACCTTCGACACGAATACCTCTGCACGTTCACACTCACTATGCTCACACGCGTATACCCCGCGGAGTAGACGGTGCGCAGGCTTCTGCACGCCGTAGGTGGCACGCAGGCGCGCGAGCGCGTCGGGCCACGTGCCGACGCTGGGGCGCGCGCCGCGCCACCACACCGCCGCGTCGCCGGTCAGCAACATGGAGAGGCCGCGTAACGCGTGCTCGTCCGATACGCCGGCGCACTCCTTGTACACCTCCACCGCATCAACGAACGCCTCCAGCACTTCGGCGTTTCGTGATTGCCCGTCGAATCTCGCGATGCACTTTGAAAAGTTCCCGCCAAATGTCGTAAATGTGTTCGCGGTAGGCGACGCTGTCGGGGTTGACGTGACTGGATTCCACTGGTTACCGTTATGATGGAGGGATCTTAACGTCTCCACTAGTATGCGGTTGGTATCCGCCTGTGCTCTGGCGAACGACTCCATCATGGTAGTCAGGAGCCGCTCGGTGCTCAAAGCGGGGTGAGCGGGTGCTCCGCTGCGGCCTCCGTCGAACATGTAGTCTGGTTCTTGAGCGGCGCCTCCCTGGGCGCGCGTCTCGGGTGCGTCTCCGTCGCACGCGACGTGCGCGTGGGCGGCCCCGGCATGGGTGCGCGACTCCACCACTGTATCGTCGTCGTCCGAAAACCTAGCGCTTCGCTGCGCCGATCGTGTTGTTCGCGGCATTGTATTGCGTTTCGTAGGTATAGTCACTAAACGAACACTGACGCGTATATTATAGTCACTGGATGAACACCAAAACTTTACGTAATTTGTAACGAACGTAACAATAATTTGTTGGGTCCGTTCGCACACTGAGTCCAAGGCCACGAGTTGGGAGCCACTGTAATAGGCAGTAGAGTCACTATTCTCAGGTTTAGGTATAATGCGTGGGTTTTCGATGGATCGGAGTTGGAAGGAAACGAATCTATTGTTACGAAAGTCTGTGTATGTTATAGTAAAAGCAAATAGAGTAAAGTTTGGTGATATAACATAAAACTAAATACAAAACACGAAAACTGGGAGCGAGCGAGAGCCGCGATAGACGTATAATAAAACATGTGCTGTGCACTGCGGCGTCGGCGCGACTACTCAGCGTTGCGCACCTACATGACCGGCGGCGGCCGGCGCTGGCACGTTGCGCGCGCAGCCGTTTCTAACCGTGCGGCCGCGTCTGTACATTGTACACGCTCCGCAAACCCTCTCAACGACCGCGCGCTACAATTTTCATTATAGTGATTTTTTCGATAATCTTATTGTAACTCTAGGATAACTGCTGTTGATGTTATTTTGGTCTAAATGACCATGTATCTTACCTACACCAGATGCAAGCTGTTCTCCATATATTAAAGCTTTACACTGAGAAAAATTTTGAGCCTGTTCGTACATTACCGTAATGTATAAGCAATTTAAACTAAAATAAGGAAGCAGTGTCCTTATTTTTGTTGAGTATTACGTAATAATGTAGCATATTCCTCAAGCGTTTTATACCGCAACATGATCTGTAATGTATTCGCTGTCAAGTACGTAAGCATATAAAGCCTCATTAGTCATGTTGCCAAATCCTAACAGTTCGTAGCTCCCAACAATCTGTAATGGACAAGGACACATTACAAATCATTACAATACTAATAGATACGTATAAGTATGTAAAATACAGATAAATAATGTCATTGGTACAGTATACCACTGCCACATGCGTATAATGTCGTTTAAGCATTGTGTATGTGTTCCATTCCATAGACATACCGTAGAACCAGATAATACTACCGCTACCATGTAACTTACCCGTTACATTATAAGTAGCTCGCATCTCGATTTTAATGTAACTGCGACATAAAAACGGTAAGACATTACGTAAAATGTCGTCGGAAAATTGTGTAAAGATACTGATTAATTATACATACTCTACAACTAAAGAATGCTGCTGGAACAGTATTATGTGCACGTTACATTATACGTAATTCGAATATAGACCGTAATGTGCAGTGTACATTATAATAATTGCACATACTTATACTATCGCTGAAACATTGCGTAAAGATACAAAACCATTGTAGGATATCTGCAACCAGATAATGCTTCTGGTACCATGTAACTTACCCGTTACATTATAAGTAGTTCACATCTCGATTTTAATGTAATAGCGACATGAAAAGGTGTGAAATTACGTAAAATGTCGTCGAAAAATTGTGTAAAGATACTGATCAATTATACATACTCTACAACTAAAGAATGCTGCTGGAACAGTATTGTGTGCACGTTACATTATACGTAATTCGAATATTTTACGAAATTGTAAAAATGGTAAAGCTGGTAAAAAAGTATCGTATGGAAACTTTACCTAATATTCATAGACCTTTTCAACGATACCCCACAAAAGGGAGTGTGCTCAAAAAAAATAATTCACCCCCACCCCACTTTACATGCATGGGGAGGTACCCTTAAAAAGGGGTGATTTTTATTTATTTGGTTTTTAAAATTGAGATCTATATCCAAAGTATCGACAGACCAAGTTACATGCAAATCGGTTTATAAACGTAGAAAATATTGTGCTGTGACACGAACCAACACTCCGCTCCTGACGCCCGCTGCGAACGCACGTCTCCACCCTGCATCGCTACGAGTTCCGCACTAGCGTAGCTCTGCTACGCTCCGCGCCACGCCGTAGCGCCATCGCCGGACATCAGACCACGCCTCCGCTACGTAGCGCTGCTACGAACTCTGCTACGTCGTAGCAGTTGTTTCGTGACAGAGCTACGAGGACTTTGCTGGTGCGTGCCTTTTTCAAGGCGCGTTCTCAGCCACGCGCTCGAAACGTTGATTTTTAAACCCGCAGTTTCGCGGTACCTGGTCGAAACCTTACGGTGTCAACGATCCAGGTGGCGTGCGCCCCGAGTACGTCGGCCTTGTCCCTTCAGGACATTGCCAATTATCGGAAGGGTGCTGGGACCATAACCTTGGGGGCTCCCCTAGTTGTACCCAGTACTTAACCCGTTCTCTTCACAGCTTCGCCGGCCGCCTAACAGCGAACCGGCGCATAGGAACCCGCTACACATTAAGATTGATAGCGGGATTACAAGCTTAGGGTACACCAGTAGGTACTCACCTCCCTGCCTACACCCGGTAGGGAGGGTACACACCTCCGAGTTCACCCCTCGAAGGGTTAGGATTATAGGGCCCCTCAGGCCAAAAGGCAGTTGCACCAGACCACCGAGTTTGTTCGGGTATCTTCTTCTTGGTGATAGGTGCTAGGAAGATACCCAGGGAGGGAGCATTTTGGGACTGCCCGTAATACAGATAGGAGAAGGAGCATAGGCCCATTCCATCATGGCCCTTCAGGCACTACTTCTTCGCCTGATTAAAAGGCTGGACAATAGTCCATCTCTGCAAGCTGAGATTGCACCTCAGCTCGTAAATTTCATTAACAACCTGATTCCGGAATCCCCGGAATCACCTTCGCCTCCTCCTCCAAGGAGGACTCAACGGAGGCGGTCCGTTTCGGCTCGGGATAGATCCCCTTCGGACTCCCAACAGAGATTTCGGTCACCACTAAGGTTCGACCAAGAGGGGCTTCGTTCCCCTTCTCCTTGCTCCTCCCCGGACCACTCGAGGAGGCTAACCACCCCCCCTCCACCACCAATGTCAACAACCCAGAGGGCCTCGTCCCCCCTGGAGAACACTTCTTCCTCGGACGAGTTCCAACTCGTCCAAGGAAAGAGGAAAAAGAAGTCCGGGCACTCCGGCTTGGCACCAGCATCCAAGGCCAAAAAGGCCTCTTCTCCGGCGGCATCTGCCCCGAGCAGCCGCTCGGGTAGCCCCATGGCTACCTGCCCTCCGGCCGCACCCAGCCGACCACTACCTTCAGCCTCTCCGGCTCTGCCATCAACTTCGGCCTCTACGGCCCCTCGTTCCGCAACCACTCGAAAGGTTGCCCCCCCACCACCAATTTTCATCCACAATAAAGGGATGTGGACCGAAGTCTCAAAGGCGTGCGCAGAGAAGCGTATCGCCTACATCAACGCCCGCGCCGTCGAGCAGGGCATAAAAGTAACGGTCGCCTCACCGGCCGACTTCAGAGCATTAAGCTCCCTCCTCTCGGGAAGGAACATTCCCTTCCACACATACTCCCTTAAGGAGGAACGACCAGTGCGGGTCGTTGTCAAAAACATTCCGCTCGAAATCTCCGAAACGGAGATTGAGCAGGACCTGAAAATCCAAAATATCCCGGTAATAAAGGTCCACCGTATGCACCGTAGGAATGGCGAACGCTACAACATGATCATTGTAGCCGCCGAACCTACCGAGGGCCACCACCCTATATTTAAAATTTCCCGCATTTGCGGTCTCTCCGGTCTTAAGGTGGAAAGACCCCACAAGAGTGGCACTGTCACACAGTGCCACAAATGTCAACTATGCGGCCACGCGCAGCGCAACTGCTTCGGCAAACCCCGTTGCGTCAAGTGCCTAGGCGACCACGGCACGTCCGAGTGCCCCCGTCCCAAGGACCGCACCCAATGCACGGAGCCCCCCAGCTGCGTGCTATGCGGCAACGCCGGCCACCCGGCCAACTACAGGGGATGCCCTAAGGCCCCCAAAACTTCGGCACCAAAGCTGATAAAGCGAGCCATAGCCCGCCAGACCAGGGAACGCCCCACGGTCACACTGGCCCCTCAGCGCCCCAGCCCATGGAACGCGCTCAACACTCAGCGGATTTTCCCGGCACTGAAGCCGACTCAGCAGCCATCTATCCCGGGGCTGATGGACCGCCCCATTCCTCCACCTCCAGGCTTCTCGGCACCAACGGTGGCACCGCCGCCCCCAGCACGGCCTCCAACTTCGGCCCCCACTCAGGGAGCAGACCTCGATCCATTCGAGATCATTTCGAGCACCTTCTGTGCTTTCTTCACACCGCGTGCCAAACAACTGGCAGCGGCAATCGTAGCCTGCAATGGCGACCACGCCAAAATTCGACAGGTGTACCACCAGTACCCTGATGTCCACGAGGCAATCAAATCCTTAGGAACCCGTAATGGATAATTCCTCAGCTAGACGTATAAAGCCGATGGCCCTTAGGTTAGGGTTCTTTAATGCCAACGGCCTAAAAAGCCAACGCGACGAAGTCGCGACTTTCCTTCGCGACCACCGCATTGACATTCTCCTAATTCAAGAGACCTTCCTCAAACTCCATATTCGAGACCCGAAAATTGCGAACTACAGGTTAGTCCGCAACGACAGGTTTCACCGTCACAAAGGAGGTACTCTGATCTATTATAAAAACTCACTGCATTGCATCCCTATGGACCCGCCGCCATTAAAACATCTTGAGGTTTCGGTCTGCCGACTGGGCATGACAGGCCATTGTCCCATCACAATAGTCTCTGCGTATCTCCCTCCACCACCCACCTCATCCTCTGAGGCCTTGGAGATCAACAACGCACTAAGAGACGATTTATCAGCTCTCTTCGGCTTGAGCGACTCCGTCATCCTGGCGGGAGACCTCAACGCCAAGCATCCCGCATGGAACAGTCACACTGCAAGCCCCCGCGGCAAAGTAGTGTTTGACCTTTGCTCGACACTGTCTTTCGATGTCATCGCTCCGATGCATCCCACTCACTACCCGCTAAACCCCGATCACCGGCCGGACGTGCTAGATGTCGCCCTTCTTAGAAATGTAAACCTGCGTTTACACTCTGTGGAGGCGATCGACGAGCTCGACTCCGACCACAGACCGGTCATCCTGGGTTTAACGCCTAGAACGGGTCCTTCAGACCCCGAATACACACCTCCCACCCGAGTGATCACCGACTGGGGGAAAGTACGCGATTCGCTGAAATCCTCCAACTCGGCTCACCTGGACGGGATACCGGACAACATCGTGTCTGCCGCAGACACGGCGCTCGCGGTCGACTCCCTCACGAGGCACGTACAGTCCGTCCTGAACGTGTGTTCGAGGGAAGTGCCAGCGGTGAGCGATCATCGCTGGAAACTCTCTGACGATGTGCGTGCCCTGGTGGCGGAGAAGAACGCGGCCGTTCGTGCCTACAGGGCTTTTCCTTGCGTTAGCAACAAGACTCATATGCGTTACTTACAGCGCAAAGTAAGTAACAGCATAGCCGAGTTACGCGAAAAACGCTGGGACAAGACCCTAAGCGAGCTAGAACCCAACCACCTGGCGTTCTGGAGCCTTCAGAGGAAGTTGCGCTCCCCAGAAGTCTCCACGATACCGCCCCTCACACGACCGGACAAAAGCATCGCCTTCGACGATGAGGACAAAGCCGAATGCCTAGCCGACAGCCTGGAGCTTCAATGCTCTCCTAGCACCCAGCCAACTGATCCGGCCCATCTCGCTAGAGTGGACGCCGAAGTAGAACGCAGGTCTGCTCTGCCTCCGATAGAGGACCCTGACACCCCCCTACCTCCCGTCACCCCAGACGAAGTAGAGGAAGTGATCAGAGGACTCCACCACAGAAAAGCTCCAGGGCGGGATGGAATGACAAACAGGGTCTTTAAGCTCCTCCCCGCCCAGATCATTGTACTTCTGGCTGCCATCTTCAATGGCGCCATGACCCATAACATGTTCCCACAATCGTGGAAAGAGGCTATCGTGATTGGTATCCCCAAGCCCGGTAAGCCCAGGTCTTCCCCGAGCAGTTACCGCCCCATCAGTCTGCTCAGCGCCTTCGGCAAGATCTACGAGCGACTTATTTATAAGCGACTCAAAGATTACGCCGAGGCGAAGAGCCTAATTCCATCACACCAATTCGGCTTTCGAGCCCGCCATTCTAGCGTTCACCAGGCCCACCGCATCGTCGAGTTTGTCAGCTCTCGCTTTCAACACGGCATGATGACGGGGGCTCTGTTTTTCGATATAGCGAAAGCATTCGACAAAGTCTGGCACAATGGCTTGATTTTCAAGCTATACCAACTCGGAGTGCCAGACCACCTCGTGCTCATCATTCGAGACTTTCTGTCGAACCGCACCTTCCGCTACCGCATTGAAGGCGCACTGTCAACCTCGCGCCCAGTCAGGGCAGGCGTCCCGCAAGGGGCCGTACTATCGCCCCTCCTTTTCACGCTTTACACCAGCGACATACCAACTCGACCACGCGTAGAGCTCTCCCTGTTCGCAGACGACACGGCGATCTACTGCGCGGGCCGCAGTCCAAACTCCATAGCCCAAACCCTCCAAAACTCCGCAGCCGCACTAGGCGACTGGTTCCGGAGATGGAGGATAGAAGTCAATCCGGACAAAAGCCAGGCGGTACTGTTCGTGAAGCCGCGTATCCACCAACCTGATACGCCTACACCCATAACCATGTTCGGCAAGCCTATCCCCTGGGAAAAGCAAGCCAAGTACCTCGGAGTCATTCTCGACCATCACCTGAATTTCAGAGAGCACATCAAGACGGTCCGTTCGCGACCCGCCTTCGCCCTCAGTAGACTATTTTCAATGCTGAACCCACGCAGCAAACTCTCACTCAAATGTAAACTCCGTATTTATACTACATGTATACGACCGATAATGACGTACGCATGCCCGATCTTCGCGCATGCACCACCCCGAGCGATCCATAGGATGCAAACGCTACAGAACCGTTTTCTCCGAAAGGCCGCGGGCGCACCCTGGTACCTAAGGAATAAAAAAAGAAAAAGGAAACACGTAGACCTCAAAATACCGACTTTGAAGCAATTCATGAAACGCTTGTCAAAGCGTTACTTCGAATCCGCTGAAAAGCACCCGAACCCCCTCATAGTATCGGCCGCCCGATACAAAACATCCCAGATTTCCAAAGTTCGCCGTCCTCGGCATATTCTCGAAGAACCAGACGACCCTATCACCATCCTACAAGAGAGCCGTAGGGATACCAGCACAATTCGTAAATACAAATACAGACCGCGTTCCGTATTCCGGCCTCGCCGCCGAGGCCCACCGCGACGCCCCAGTAACGTTAAAAACCGATCCTTGCTAAACGAGCCAGCCCGCGACGCTGAGCCAATAGTAATAATAAATACTCGCGTAAATAATCCGACCCAGCCTGATTTGACTTGCTGCCCCTCCCCAATGACCCCGCCGAGCCGAGGTTCGAACCCCACAGGGGGGAAAAAAAAGTGCTGTGACAGACTGGAACAGACGGACAGACAGACGGACTGGACGATCTTATAAGGGTTCCTTGTCGGACTACGGAACCCTAAAAAGATTCCGACGAATTGAGAACCTCCTCCTTTTTTGAAGTCGGTTAAAATGAAATGTAGTCGGAACATTGGTAAGGTTACCGATCAATTATACATAGGTACATCACTTTTTATTTATGGTGCTATAACCGTATAATGTGTCCAACACTAGACTGTAATGTAAACTATACATTATAACGCGCCGACTTACTGATATAAAGAAACCGTTGCATTGTAATGACATGACATCGGTATAGACCGTTTTCCAAGCCAGAACAGGCTGGAAACAGTGTTACCATTTTTGGTAAATTTCTACCATTTGAGCAGATTTGGCACCTATAAATTGTCAGTTCAGTAGATGATGCTGGAGATTAAAATAAATAGCACATACAAACTTTAATACTTAGTACCTGGGTGACCAAGCTTCGCTCGGCGTTCTATTAAGAAAAAAAAACGAAAAAAAACCTTGTTACCACCGAGTTTCGAACCCAAGACCGTAGACACTGAAAGCAGTGTGAAGTGACGAAATGGCCGATAACATATATGTATATATATATAAAATCCACGCCGCGCCCAGCGCCGATTGCAAATATGATGTTAGTATACTGGATTCCGAGGTATTGTGCAACAGTTCATACTTAGTAGCTCCAAACTCTCGCAAGCAATACCTATAACATTCAGGAAATTTGGTGTTTCAATGTTACATACATAGCGGCCATCAATACCATCATGTTTTTGGGTAGACAAATCTTAAAGCCGTAAAGCCCAAAGGTTACGTTTCGCAAGTCGATGGTCATACGGTCGTCGCTAACAGGATCCTAGTACAGATAGGTTGCTAGCCACATTGCCTATTATCTTGATCCTTTACATCATTACATAGTCTCTTGGCCGGTTTTTACGATCTGCGCGGGAAGAGAAACAACTGTCACATTCTATGTGTTTATTTTTCCAAACCACCATGAAAGAAAGTTTCCATGATAGAATTCTAACTGTCATCCACGATTCAGGTACCGATATCGCGCGCTTCCCACCACTTCTGCGATATTACCTCTAGAACATTTGGTACGATTTTTGATATTTCGCTAAAAGTAGAATCGTTCGAAGGTCATACGTTCGAAAATAATCCAGAATAGCAGGCAAAATTTCTTAAATCTGGCAACACTTTTATAGACTTGACTGTCAATGTCATTTTCTTGTGTCAGATTGACAATGACATTTTATTAGGCACAGATATTTAATTATAAGTCCTACGTTTAATCAAAATTTTCAAAAAATTATTTAAAAATAAATACTGTAATATCATTAAAACTAACGTGAGATGTAGACATAGTTATTTTAAATCGGGTGACTCACGTGATTTTTAGCCGGGAAACTATAGTTGGCATTCCCGGCTAAAAATCACGTGAGTCACCCGATTTAAAATAACTAAATAAATACTGCTTTAAAAAAAAAATAAAAAAATATGGAGGTATATACATACAAAAAGCTATCGATTGCCTATATAAAAACTACTAGTTTACATTCTTTGCTTGATGTCAATTACGTATCTCAGCGATTACCAATCCAAAAGCAATCTGGCATATGCCACCGTTCAACGAGTGTTTTGTTTTGTAACACAATAAAAATAATAAAGCATTCATAAGAAAGACACATTGAACATCGTGCATATGTCAGATTGCTTTCGAATTGCTAATAAAAGTAAAGAAAGAGAAAGCGTTACCATCTGTCCAGTTTTCGTTACCTTTTCCCCGATTCTGTGTTCGGTTCTTAGACGCTTCATGGTGTTTTGTATTTCTTTTTGGAAATTTATTTGTAATTACATTGAAAACACTAATGAAAATTGTAATATATTGAAAAACTACGACTGGTATTTCATTTTATTGCAATATCTGGGTATTATCAGTTTACATTTTTAGTTAAATTGATAATACTCAGTTACATTGAGTGACATACTGAATGATAAAACGTAATAAAAATGGCTGAAGCAGCGAGGCAGTGTGAATTAATAAAAATTCTTGAAGAAACATCGTTAAAGGAACAGTATCTGCAGGTCTTTATTGGTAAGTACCTACCTTCGTTATCAGCCCATATAGGCACGTCCCCAGCCCCACTGCCTCCGTGAGAGGAAATCCCATACTCAGTACCATGTGTTTTGGTTTTGATATAATTGCACGGGTTTTAATAGTTATAATTGTACAATTTTCTTTCTCTGTACATGCTGGTGAACTTACATGCATATTTACCTCGTCGCCTTTTACGACACCTCGGTAAGAAAGAGGGTAGTCGTATTCTACTCCTCGGGGAGTCACACGGCCTAGAGTGAATTCAAACATGTCAGCTGCAGCTGCTACCTCTTAAGGCCGAGCAACCACGCGCTATAAAACCTCTGAAACTTACACCCGCCTTGAAAAGTAATGCATCTCGGTTCTATAATCATCTGCGCTCTTACTTATAATTCCATATATTTTACAGATAATTGCATTGATGATGATGCATTAAAAATACTTGATGATGAAGGACTACAACAATTAATACCTATAGTCGGCCATCGCATGAAAATAAAAGCAGCAGTCAAAAAGTGGAAATTGCTCAATGAGTCGGTTAGTTATTTTATTTTTCCTGAACCGCTAAGTCTTGACCATCATACCAGCCCATTTTAATGTCCTACCAGTGAGAATGGACCTGTTAGGTTAAAGCAGATAGGAGCATTCTTCAACATGGTTAAACAAATGACTTTCCTCTGTCTGAATGTAATGTGGTCGATTATTCATTTAAAACAGTGTATGTATTACCTATTCATTACAAAATATATTCATACATATGTTGTCGCTGAAAATTTTAAGCTTTAGGAGTTGAAAGTGTTTTGAAAAGAAAGTTTTTTTTTTCTTATTGGGGATTAATTATAAAAAAAAAGTTTGCGAATATTCTTCTTTCAAAGATTGTCTACTTTATATGTATTGTAAGTGACCAAATGTTTCATTCTCTCTGGCCCTGGTTTTTACACTGTTATGATTTTAGTAAATATAGTTGTCTGCAATGTATGCTGACTTCAAACAAGTGACTAAATGTTTGATTCTGTTTGGCTCTGGTTTTTACACTGTTGTAATTTCAGTAGATATAGTTGTCTATCTGTTTCTAAATATTTGACTCTGAAGATATTAACAAAAATTGTGCTATTGGAAGCCAAATTATTTCTTATGAAGTACAGAATGGTGCATTAATTTGCAACAGTTTAAGTCAAACGAAAAATGCTGATGCTGGCAGTTCAATACAGGAAGAGGATATAATATCAGAGTCCTTAGAAAGCATCAGGAAATTTACAAATTGCAGCAACAGTGTAAGTTATACATATTTATTTTTATTTTACATATTCAAGTAAATTTTAGGGTTTCTTAAACAAAGGGCAAAACTTTCTATTGGTCCATTATGTGTCTGTACGTCCATACAGTATATACAGTAGATTAATACTCAAGGGGAAGATAGTCTTTGAGTTGATCTAATAATAAAGGAATAAAATGACCTGGCTTTCGAGATTTTGATAAAAAAGAAAATTATTTTGTTTGAAAACCCTTAATGATTTGGCCTATTCTTTTTATTTTATTTTTTCATTTAAATACTCTCAAAGGGTGGCTTTACGATATCCAAATATCAATTTTATAAATATTAATAGGAAACCCTAAGTAAATATTGCTGCTAATGTTTGTCCATCCTGTACACAATCTCCATAATCACAATTTCTTTTTTGTTATAGGTTGAAACAATTTTAAATGTGAGGATTACAAACAATTGTCTTGCTGGGAACAGAATGCATGACATAGTTTAGTTGCTGAACACAGTATCCATCACGTAGTTTAGTTGCCGAACACAGAACCACCACGTAGTTTACTTGCCGAACATAGAATCCACCACGTAGTTAGTTCCCAAACACAGAATTCATGAGGTAGTTCAGTTGCCAAATGCAATTCATTAGTATAAAATAAGCTTGCAGCTTATTTTATGATAATTGTTATTTCTGATTTCAAGAATATTTCATTTGTTTCACAGACTAGTTCTGATGGCAGAGCAATTTTAGCAGAGGGTAAAAGAGCTGAAGGCTTACTAAAAGAAAGCGACCGTAAGAGGTTGAGCCAAATTATTATTCTTCACCTCCTTGAAAAGAACCCATCCAGAGCAATATCAACATGTGAATTTCAAAACTTAGCTGCACAAATACAGGAACTGTTTAAACAAGAAAGTTCTGTGGTATATTATTCTCCTTATGAACCTGCTACTGGCAACAAGGGTCATAAAAAAAACACCAGTGGAAAGTTGTATGAATCTTACATCAGTCGCAGACGAAAGTTACGGTCCAGGGGGGAATTACCAGGTACAAGCCGATCGTCTTCAACATCGAGATCTACATGTACGGATACTACAGAAACAGTATCTGTTACTTCTAGTGATATCGATCTACTAGGTAACCAATCTTTGAACTTATCTATTAAATAGTGTTTTTAACCTCCGACCAAAAAAGAGAGGCGTTATAAGTTTGACCTGTCTGTGTGTCGGTCTGTGGCATCCTAGCTCGTCAACGAGTAAACCGAATTAAATGCGGTTTTTTTGCGTTTGATATTTGTCATGATCGAACAGGTTTTTGACAGTAGTTTATTGAGTTTTTAGTCTGTGTGTCGATTTACCGTATGTTACTATTAAACGGTTGACCGTTAATGCAATTTTTTTGTTTGAGAGCTGATAAGATTCTCATAGAAGTCAGTTTAAATTTATAGAGTTATGTTCACAAGTTTGATGTCATGTTAATTTTGTCTTGTTACTTTTGGAATTGGAAAATATGTTTTCATTCTACTGTTACACCTAAAAAAAAACATCGTATTCTTATCACCCTGTTCAGCCGAGCTACCAGCCGGTCCTTGCGTTCGGGGCAACAGTGATATAACGCAAACTCGGACCTCCTTGATTCTTTCCTAGAACATTCTTAGCATACTAGGGGACCCGTAGCTATTGATATCTCGGAGCATTAAGACCCCATTTTCGTGTTTTGGGACTTAGAAAATCTACATACATTTTAGTACGAAAATTTAAAAAAATCATAAAAAATGTAACGCAAACTCAGACCTCCTTGATTCTTTTATAGAACCTTCTTAGCATACTAGGGGACCCGTAGCTATCGTTATCTCGGAGAATCACGAACCCATTTTCGTGATTTGGGACTTAGAAAATCTACATACGTTTTAGTACGAAAATTTAAAAAAATCATAAAAAATGTAACGCAAACTCGGACCTCCTTGATTCTTTTATAGAACCTTCTTAGCATACTAGGGGACCCGTAGCTATCGTTATCTCGGAGGATCACGAACCCATTTTCGTGTTTTGGGACTTAGAAAATCTACATACGTTTTAGTCTGAAAACTTAGAAAATTCATAAAAAAATATAACGCAAACTCGGACCTTCTTGATTATTTCCTAGAACGTTTTTAGCATAATAAGGGACCCGTAGCTATCGATATCTCGGAGAATCAAGACCCATTTTGGTGTTTTGGGACTTAAAATATATAATAAAATTTATGCACTGAAGGTAAGATTTTTCCCAATGGGTTATATGAAAGAGAACATAATATGTATGTTATACATATACGTGTATAAGTCAACTATACTACATTGTTTTAATAATTGCCTTAATAATACCCGCAGAGAGTAGATTTTTAAGGATATATTTTAATTAAAGTAAAATGAGCTTTTTGCCCGCGACTTTGCTCACCGAAATTACACTTTATTTCAGTGTCCAGCAGTGGGATAAAAAGTAGCCTAAGTCACTCAAATTTAAAATATACAATGAATATAATGTTTTTGCAGACGCTGATAATGAGACATATACAAATGTGGCGCTGATACTTTTGGCTTACGTTATTGGGACATGTCCGACTCGAAAACGAGGCAAACAATACTGGAAACCATCTCGCTCTGAAATACGCGACGGGTTCATAACACAGGTAGCATCTGAGGCGGAGGTGTATTCAGTAATTGAATCAAGACGAGCTAAGCTGCAGAGACTTGGAAGAACGTTACAGCCTTTTATTATTTTCGTGGGTGAATCTTTGGCAGCTGTAAGGGCTTCATATGTTATCATCAACAATACTTGTTACAATTTTCCAAAATTAGTCACAGCAGTGGATGCTGCTTTTAAAATATTTCATGCTACTGGGGCCTGTTACCCCGAAGAATGTATGGACATCTGGCATGTAATCCAAATTGGCTTCTATAAAATTAAAACTAAGTTTGACCGAACTAACCAAGCCATAAATAGCCTCTTAAATGACCTAGGGTTGTTGGTATAACTTTAAAATCAGGTCAAAATAAAATTAATAATGTTGGAATATACTTGTTACTACTGTAAAAATAAGTATAAATCTATACAGCTATTGATAACGCATCTTAGGTTATTTTGTAAACATGCAAGCGGCATTTCAGATTTTATTTGCGGTGAAGAAGGATGTTTGCGACACTATTGTTCAGCTTTATCGTTTAAAAAACATTTGTTTAAGTGTCATTCTCGTGATTTGCGGGTAAATTTATCAAAAGACTTGCCGTCTTCATCCGTAACTCCGCAAGTTGTGTCTGAAAGCTGCAGAGAATCAGTAGCGTCGTCAGTTAGTCAGAGCGCCTTAACCTGTGAAAGTGCTCAGTATACTCTTACACAAGAAATGTCTCATTTTGTTTCATCTTTATATGTTGACCCTAAAATACCACGCAGTGCGGTGCAGAATATAATAGTATTACTGCAAAGTTATATGTCTAAGACGCAAGATGTTCTGTTGCAACATTTTCGAGAAATCGTACCAGCCAACGAAATAAGCCATAACACCAATGAAGCTATTAAACATATGTTATCATTACATAGTACAGTTTTAAACGATTTGCGTACAGAATATAAACGTTTAAAATTTTTTAAAGATTTAGGAACATACATAGAACCTTTGGAAAAAATAATTTGCCAACGTATGGAAAACAGACAAGCGCCATCTGGAATTATGTCTTTAATTCCAACTACAAGCACAATGCAAATAATACCTATAGAATTAGTACTTCAGAAATTCTTTTCCTTACCAAACGTTTTAAAAGACACTTTAGACTATTTACAAAATTTGAAGAAAAACTTATATCCTATTGTAAATATTATTCAGGGTAGTATATGGCAAGAGATGCTTATAATGGACACTGAGAATGAAATAACACTTCCTATTGTTATTTACTTCGACGATTTTGAAATAGGCAATCCGTTGGGTAGTCACGCAGGAATCCATAAGCTAGGTGGTGTGTATTTATCAATACCATGTCTTCCTCCCCATTATACCTCTATTTTGCAAAATATTTTTGTATTGGCTTTGTTTCATTCATCGGATCGGGTTGCTTTCGGTAATAACCTGGTATTTCAAAAAGTTATTGACCAGCTTAACCATCTTAGAACCAGTGGTATTACTATTAAAACAAATGTTTATGAGGGTGTTATTAAATTCCGTTTAGTGACCATTACCGGTGACAATTTGGGTTTAAATTGTATTATGGGCATACAGAGACTTTGATTTTACATACGCTATATTTTCCGACGAAAAGTGCTTTAGGTCAAGCCAACAAGGTCGTCGGAATTTATGGCGTATAGATAACACAAGGTACGAACCTCGAAATGTAATCCCAAACGCAGAATGTGGAAGAGTTGTTGTTAATATGTGGGGTTGGATGAGTGCTGCTGGACCAGGCGAGCTTGCTTTTATACCAGGGAGGGCAAACGGCCACACATATAGAGACGTGCTGCATGATATTATGCTACCCACAGTGCGCACGGTGTATCCCCAATCAGACGTGCAGAATTTTATTTTTTTCAAGACTATTGTCCGATACACCGCGCGCGGGTTGTTCAAGGGTGGTTGCGAGAGCAACCACAAATTAAAACAGTGCCATGGCCCTCCCGGTCGCCAGACTTAAACCCTATTGAAAATTTATGGGGTTTAATGGTTCAGAAGTGGGATAATAGGGCAGAAAGAACTAAAGAAGCACTTGTCACCCATTGCGAACAAGTTTGGGATATGTTGCGAGGGTCAAACTTGTGCGAAACTCTAGTGAGGTCTATGCGGAGTCGCTGTGATGCTGTCATAGATGCGGGAGGGGCAGCAACAAAGTACTAGAGCAATAATTTATAATTTAATTTACAGGGTGACCGCCCTGTAAAGTTAATTATAAATTATTGCTCTAGTTTGACTGCACGGTTGGCGCGGTGGCTGGGCAACTGGCTACCGCGCAACGTGTCGCGGTTTCGATTCCCGCACGGAACGACTCTTTGTGTGATCCACAGATTGTTGTTCCGGGTCTGGGTGTGATGTGCATGTGAAATTGTATGTTTGTAAACGCACCCACGACACAGGAGAAAATCCTACTGTGGGGCAAGGTTTAAAAAAAATGTTATAAATACAAAATTAGATTTGTCAAGCTCAGGGGTATCCGCAAACACCCCGCGATTTTTTATCTTTTTGGAGTATACTTATTTATGTCCTAAAAATTTGATGGAAACGGCTCTAAAAAAATTCAATTTTGTTTTTAATAGTCTTATTTGACTTTTTTAGTATTTTGACTAAAAAAAAGTGTAAAAATAGAGACACGATTTTTTATACCGGTTATCATTAAATTTTCAGGTAATTAAAAAAGTGTTAAAAATCGAAAACTATCAAGAATGGCGGTCCATAGTTGTAATATTTTCGAATATACTTCTGGGCATGACGATTTTCCTATGTGTATGTCGCCTCTATTTTGAACACCTGTATAATTACGTCATACAAGCTAAACACGGGCAAAATCCATTCGGCCATATCTAAAAATATATATAAAGCATCTCCTTCCAGAAGGCTTAAGACTTACGAAGAAAAAGTTGACCAAAGAAGGAGATACCACAGAACAATTAAAAGACGGAAAAACCGTGCTTTGTTGCCAAAAAAACTTGATTTCAATTACGGCGAAAATGTCGAAGCACCTGATATGGATGCAGAAACATCAAAACTGTAAAACCACTTTTTTGAAAAATTTGGAGAAATGCGACGCCGAAAGAAATGAAATTCAATCACGCACAATTCTGCAGAGTGAGAGCGGAGAGTGGATGGAGTTACGCAGGAATCTTCTAACGGCATTTAATTTTGGGAAAATTGTTAAAAGGAAAAGAACAAATAGTTGTGCCAATACTGTCAAAAATATGCTTTACAAACCAGACATTGGGCACGTGGCATCAATAAACCATGGCCGAACACATGAGAAGGTTGCTCTAGAGCAACTATCGAAATTATTAAAAGTGACTATAGACCCGTGTGGACTATACATCGACAAAACTCATCCATTTTTGGGAGCAACACCAGATGGTATTATAGAAAATAACACCCTGGTAGAAATAAAATGTCCTGTGATTCCTTTCAAAATCGGAGCCCATCAACGTAATTTCTGAAATACAATTTAGTCAATTTTAGTATTTTTTACATAACATTATTATTTACATTTCAGTTTTAATAAATATTCTTGAAAATAATTACTTAGCTTCATTACTTCTTTGATACTTACACGCACATTTATTAAATGATACAAGATCTTCGACGCTTTTATTCCTTAACCACTTAATACTAGCTGTTTCACGCGATTTTATAAGCATTCCCGAAGAACTTCTTCCGGATAAAATATGGCCGACATTCACTGGGGATAGTGTAGATTGAGAAAGCATCCTTCAAATCAGTCAAGCAGTTTCAGAGCCTATACAATCCATACAAACAAACAATCAAATCTTTCCTCTTTATAATATTAGTATAGATTATTTTACACTAGTCAACCCTTAGATACCCATATTGAGGGAGCTATAAAAAAAACAATGCAATTCAGTAGCAATGTGCCGAGTACGGTTCTACTCGAGTCAGACTCGATTCCTGCTTTGGACTCGCTTA